GAGAGAGAGAGAGAGAGAGAGAGAGAGAGAGAGAGAGAGAGAGAGAGAGAGAGAGAGAGAGAGAGAGAGAGAGAGAGAGAGAGAGAGAGAGAGAGAGAGAGAGAGAGAGAGAGAGAGAGAGAGAGAGAGAGAGAGAGAGAGAGAGAGAGAGAGAGACAGGGTAAGGTAAGAAACTGAGGCAAAAGAGAAGGGGAGGAGAAGGGGAGCAGAGAAGACCATCTTAGGAGATTCAGTGACAGCTTACGTGACAGGTATTAGCGATGACGTCACGGCTGCCACATACGCCGCGGCTTCCTGTGTTTATCGCTCGCGTGGCGGCGGCGCGAGCGGATTGGTCAGCTGGCCCGCCGCCCCTCGGTCACGTGACCCGCTGAACAGGCTTTTTTTTCTGTCGCTTTTTCTTGTCTCCTCTGTGCTTATTTTATTCAGTTGTTTATGTCCTGCGTTCGCGTGCCGTGTATCGCGATCCAGGAGCCCAAGCGGCCCGAACAAGAAGGTCGATAGCAAGTCGCCAACAAGCGGGATCTCATTAGGTGACGGACCTGCGGCAGGTGTCACCCACTCGATAATGAGTTCAAGACAGCCAATACGCTCGGCAGCTCCGAATGACGTCATCGCGAGACGGGCGAATGAGGGCGAAGGCTTCCGTATGATATCAGTGACGGTATTGGGCGCCGCCAGTGATCCGGGCGCCCTTCGTGTTCCGTGACGTGAAGTGATCGGGCTTCACCAATGGAATTCTCCTATTGCCCCCATGACGTCAGCAAGAAGTAGTGACGTCAGAGGAATGTCCATGACGTCAGAGCACCCACCGGCGGAGGCCAATATCCGAGGCCGGAACAATAGCAGGACATTGATTACATTAGCATTCTTCGGAGGAAAATCGCTCTCGCTATATTATCTGACCTATATTATCTGTCCCGCCGCCCTGCCCAGCCGCCCCCGGAACCCCCGAGTCCCGTTTGGGTTTAGGATTCTCCAGGCGATCAATTTGGCGTCCGCGGGTCCTGGCGGGTCCTGCGCGGGTGTCCCCATGGCCCTGAATTACTCGTGAGTGTCGGATGCAAAAGTTGAATATTTTGTTCAGATCCCTCCTAAAAAAAATGGGGGGGGTTTTAAAGCAGCGTTGTCGGTTGGAACAATCAATGAAGCATCAGATTCCACTCTTTTACACCAGCTTGTATAACCCTCAGAACAGCAGGATAATATCAGGCATCAAGAGCTGGTTACCTCTCCCCCCCCCCCCCTCCTCCTTCCTCCCTCCTTCCATATCCAGTCCCCTACTCGACCCACCCTACCCCTCCCTCTTTCCTTCCTACCCCCCCCCCCTCCCCTTCTTGTACCCTTCGCCTGAAATCTAATCTGATTCGAATCTGGTCCGACGAATCAGCGAGCCGACTCTCTCGCCTCTCGGATTCACCTACTATGAGTCTTACCTTTGGTGGAGGAGAGAGGGGGGGGTGAAGGAGGAAGGGAGGGAGGGAGAGTGAGTGATGGGGAAGGGGAGGGAGGGAGGAGGGGGAGTGAGTTATGGGGAAGGGGAGCAGGGAGGGAGGGGGAGTGAGTGATGGGAAGGGAGGGAGGAGGAGGGAGGAGTGAGGGAGGGAAGTGATGGGGAAGGGAGGGAGGGGGGAGTGAGTGATGGGGAAGGGGAGAGAGGGAGGGGGAGTGGGTGAAGGGGAAGGGAGGAGGGGGAGGGGGGGAGTGGGTGAAGGGGAAGGGGGAGGGAGGGAGGGGGGAGTGGTGTGGGAAGGGAGGGAGGGAGGGGAGTGGTGAAGGGGAGGAGGGGAAGTAGGTGAGGGTAAGGGAAGGGGGAGGGAGGGGGAGTGAGTGAAGGAGAGGAAGGGTCAAGGGGAGGAGCCAGGGGGAAGGAAGGGGAGGGGAATAGGTGAAGGGGAGGGAAGGAGAGGGAGTGAGTGAAGGGGAAGAAAGGGGAAGGGAGAGAAAAAAGGAAGGGAGAAGGGATGACAAATGAGGGACAGGGAGGTAAGAAAGGCAGGGAGAAGGGGACCGGAGAGACACGTGCTGAAGAAGGCAAGAGGCAAGGACACAAAGAGGAAACAAAGTGGGAGGTGGGGTTGCTTTAGAAGGAATGGGGGAAGTCCGTGAAGAGGAGGAAGAAGACGAAGAGTCGGAGGAAGAGAAGGAGAAAAGGAGAAGAAGAAGGAGGAAGGGGAAGTAGAAGAAGAGAAGATGATGATGATGATGAAGGAGCCATGGAGAGAGAGGTGGGAGGAACGAGAATAACAGAAGAACAAAAAACGGAAAAAAAGTGAGGATTAAAAGGACGACGTGATTGAAAAGTCACGAACAACAGTGATAAAGCTATCAAAAGAAAAATAAAGAGAAAGCATGGACACAAAATCCAGAAGAGCAAAGAACATGAACAGCAGCAAGAGGACGAGGAGGGGTCGGAAGGGAGGGGAAGGAGAGAGGGAGAGGGGAGAGGAGAGGGAGAGGGAGAGAGGAGAGAAAAGTTAATGGGAGGCAGGTATATGGCCCTTAACTAGTAGTTCAGTGGTTTATGGCTTCAGTGGGCGGTTAGTTATTGCAGTTGGTGGAGGGAGAGGGGTGGGAGGAGAGAGGAGGAGAGGAGCAGGAGGAGGAGGAGGAGGAGGAGGAGGAGAAGGGAGGAGGAGGAGGAGGGGAAGAGGAGGAGGAGGGGGGGAGGAGGTGAAGGGGAGGAGGGGGAGGAGGAGGGGGAAGAGAAGAAGAAGAAGAAGGTGAGAACAAAAAGGGAAAAAATTAAAAGAGAAAGAGAAGAGGAGGGGAGAAGAAGAAGAAGAAGAAGTGAGGAAGAAGAAAAAAGTAAAAGAGAAAGAGGGGAGGAGGAGAAGAAGAAGTGAGGAAAGAAAAGAAGAAAAAGTAAAAGAGAAGAGAAGGGAAAGAAGAAATGAAGATGAAGTGGAGAAAAACAGGTACCTTAGAGTCTGAGAAGAGAGTAAGAGAGAGAGAGAGGAGATGATGATGCAAGGAAGAGAGAAGAGGAGGAGAGGAGGCGGAGGAAGGGGCAGGAGAGGTTTTCGAAGGATCAAGGATTCCTTCACCTGATGACATATTCCCAAAGCCCCGGGATGGAAGGGCAAGGCGAAAGGAAATCCCGCGACACGTGTTTCTTCTTCATTTCCTTCTTCTTTTCTTCTTCTCCTTCTTCTTTCTTCTTTTTCTTTCTTCTTCTTCTTCTCCTTCTTCTTTTTCTTCTTCTCCTTATTCTTCTTTTTTTTTCTCTTCTTCTACTTCTACTTCTCCTTGTTATTATTCTCCTTCTTCTCATTCTTTATTCATATCATCTTCTTCTTCTTCTTCTCATTCTTCATCTCATTTCCTTATCATCATTCATCATCTTCTTCTTCTTCTTCTTCGTCTTCTTCTTCTTCTTCTTCTTCTTCTTCTTCTCTTCTTCATCTCATTCTTTATCATCATCGTCATCTTCTTCTCCCTCTTCTTCGTCTTCTTCTCATCCCTCATCTCAGTCTTCATCATCATCTTCTCTTCTTTTTCTACGAACTACTTTTTTTTTTTTGTTTTTTTTTTTCCGAAATGCCACCGCAATCGTGAACACTCTGACCCCGTGTGCTGTTTCCCCTTTTGTTTATCTATGCGTGACGTGCCTCTCCGTCCGTCGGTGCGTGCGTGCGTGCGTGCGTGCTCGCGGCCGACCGGGCAATCGGCGCCCTTTTCGCCTTCCCAGAAACGCTGTGGAGCCGCGTCAGGAAGCCCCACAGGTGCGCCTCCCGGTCCCCTCCCCCACGCAGGCAGACACGCACCTCTGAAGCTCTGTAAGAACGGCCGCTCGTGACCTTGTCTCGCGCCTCGACCCTTGGCGGCGAGAGGGGCGGCGGGCGTCGCTGTCCAGGCCTTACATGGCGGAGGAGAGGGGCTACTTTCGCGCGTCACTGCTGACGAAGGCGGCGACGGGGAAGCAGAAGGAGGCGGAGACGTGCTGGGTGTCGGCAGCGGGTCTCGGCCTGTTGCTGTGTCTGCTCTTTTAAGGCTGTTGCTGTTGTTATTGCTGTTGCTGGCGGCACTTAATGGCTGGCTTGTTTTTTTCTGTTGTTGGGTTTATTACTGATGCTGTTATGATTATTGTTGTGATTATTATCATCGTCATTACTATTTTTTTTGTTGTGATTATCATCATTATCATTGTTATTATCATTATTGTTATTATTAATATTATCATTATTGTTATTATTAATATTTTCATTATTGTTATTAATATTATCATTATTGTTATTATTAATATTATCATTATTGTTATTATTGTTATTATTTTTTATTATTATTATTGATGTTATTGACATCAAATCAAGTATTATTAATAATTGTCATTATTATTATTGTCATCATGACTGTTGTTTATTAATTAGTAGTAGTATTGTTGTTGTTTTGATGTACTGTTTATTGTTGTTGCTCCTTTGTTATTATTGTTATCAATCATTATTGTTACTATAGTATTGCTGCTGATATATTATGATTTATTTTTATTACTCTTGTTATTATTTTTTCTTATTATTATCATCGGTGTTATTATTATTATTTATATTCATTATTATTATTATTATTATTATTGTTTTATTTATCATTGTTATTATTATTAATCATTATTATCTATATTGTGTTATTGTTAGTTCCAGTAATTATCATTATTTTTGTTGTTTGCTTATACCATTTATTGTGTTATCTATTGTTGTTGCTGTTGTTGTCACCAACCGCCATTATTATACATTTAACTTGATTCATTTCCGTGTTATCATCTCTCTAATTTATTTTGCTTATTAGTTT